GTTACTTTTCATGTTATGATAGCATGACCAAGGTAGCCTATAGAGGGAAGAGTTTGTTTGGGACTTTCACTTCTAGAGGGTTAGAGTCCATCATGGTGGAGTGGAGGTGGCAGGTGGCAGGAGAAGCAGCTGAGAATTCGCATTTTGAAACACGAGCAAGAAATAGAACTAACTCAAGATGGTCCGAGTCTTGAAACCTGAAAGCCTGCCCCCAATGCCATATTTCCCCCCAAAGAGCCACTAGCTGGGGACCAAGTGTTCAAATGTCTGAGACTTTGGGTGATATCTTATTCAAACCACCAACTTGGGTTCAATCCCTAGTACTGGGTAAACTACTCTACAAATAAAATATGGTACCACTTGACTGTAGCCCTAGGTCTTAAGAAATGGAGAGAGGAGGCTCAGAAGTTACCAGGCCATCCTTGGCTACATAGAGAGTTTGAGGCCAGCCTAGGCTAGAGGCCTTAAATTCAAAACATTCCAAAAGCAAACACACAGAAGGCCTGTATACCAATATAGCTCTAGACTAGCCTCCTTTGTGTTGTTATTTTATATAAGTAATAACTTCCCATGCTGTGTCTGTCAGAAGAGATTTAGGAGTGCTACACTATTCGCCCTTCTTCTAAGACAGTCAGGAGAGAAAGGGGTTCCCGTGCATTGTCTAATATTCGTCTGTTTACTTACAGTCCATGGGTGTGCCATGTTTCAAAATAGTCTTCATTTATTACTCTTTCTTTTATGTCTGGCTTGCATGTGTGTCTCTGCATTACAAGCATGTAATCCCTGCAGAGGTCAGAAGAGGGAGTTGGATCCCCTGGAACTGGAGTTACAGATGGTTGTGAGTCACCTTGTGGGTGCTGGGAACTGAACCTGGGTCCTCTGGAAGAGCAGTCAGTGTACTTAAACAGTGAGCCATCTCTCTAGCCCCTGACACCCCATTTTTTTGTTTATTTTCAGTTTAGACATGGCTCTCTCTTTTTTTCTTTTCTTTTTTTTTAATTGAAAATTTTTTCATATAATTTATTTTGATCCTGTTTTTCTCCTCAATTCTTCCCAGTTCCTCCTTGCCTCCCAGTCTGTTGAGTTTGGTGTATCTGCCAAGACAAGTTCACTAACAACTCGTTTTCCTTCCTTCAGCTTTCTGACATCTTACTGTCTTTGTCTTTGTTGGAAGAAGGTTTTGTCATAGAGTCATTTCAGCTTTTATACTTTTCCTCTCCAGATTTCTGCTTGGTGCCATTTTTCTCCTACCTCTCTGCTAACACTCTCTGCTAACCTTTGGCCTTTTGTCATGGTCTCTAAACTCTTTGGGCATACTTAAGAGCATTGGTTACATTTTGGTCTAAAGGTCCAGTGTCTGGCTTCCTCAGGAGTAGTTTTTGTCTGTTCCTCCCCCTTTGCTATGAATAGATCATAGTCTTGGAGTTTGTCTTGCCTTTCCATACTTTGTAGTTTATGTTGAAAACTGAACATTTGATCAGGTATGATGGCGCACGCCTTTAACCCCAGTGCTTGGAAGGCAGAGGCAGGAGAATCCCTGTGAGATCAAGGCTCGCCTAATCTACATAGCAAGTTCTAGAATAGCCAGGTCTACATAGAAAGACCCTGTCTCAAAAGCAAAAACAAAAAGCACAATTGGGCATTTTGCATGGTGTAGATAACACAGTACCTCTTGCAGTCGGCTTCTCCCCCCCACCCCCAGGATTGGTCATGCCTACTGACTTTCCTAAACTACTTTCGCAAAGACTGTTTTTATTGGCTCTGATCACTTGTGTCTGTTGCTCTAGTTCAGTGGTTAATACATTGTTTCAAAGCCAGGGTGTGCACACCACACCCGGATTTTTAAATGGGTGCTGAGGTCTGAGCTCAGGCCCTCATGCTCACACAGCAGGCACTTTATCCACTGAACCGTCTCCCTGGGCTCCGTCAGCGCCCCTTTTAATATCTGTAATGGGGCACGGCATTAGGGAACGTGACTAACCGACAGCCCTGGCGTCTTCACAGTGCACTGCCACCTTGCACAAAGAGCTGTGCGTCAAGCCCCCAGCTGAGCGCCCACACCAGCACACATCTGTGCCCCCCACAGCATCCTTAGTAAGCCCCAGTGCAGGCATAGCTGGCTGCTGCTGCAGTGGTCCCAGCTCCAGAATGCTAACTCAGCTGTGACCGTTTCCAAACAGCCTCTGCTTGACTCGGTGCCATCAAAGCCTCTGTAAACTCTCAGTGACCCTGTCGTCCTGCTCTCACCCAGGCCAGAGGAGGGCACTTCTCCAGGAGCCCAGCAGAGGGTCTGTGTGATTGGTTCAAGTGTAGTCCTTCATTTGCATGAGGGGCTGTTGACGGACATCCCTGCCAACTGGGGTGAGCAGGCTATTGAGGAGACATTCTCCTGTGCTGGCTGCCAAATATTATAGTATTAAGCTCAGGTTTCTCTCAGTGGTCTTTTCAAATCACCTATTTTTTTTCTATTTGTTGTTCTTTTAGAGGTTGTTTTGTTTTGGTGTGATTGTTTATCTAGTTTTGTGTGACAAGGTCTCAGAATAACTCAGGCTGGCTTTGGACTCACTGTATAACCAAGAATGACAGAGTTCAGATTCTCCTTGCTTCCACCTCCCAAGGGCTAGGATTCAAGAGTGCACCACCACGGAGGGGCAGGGCCGGCTAGAGAGACGGCTCAGCGGTTAAGAATTCTTCCATAGTATTTGAGTTCGGTTCCCAGCACCCATGGCAGGGGGCTCACAACCAGGTATAGAACTGCAGCCACTAGGGCCGGTGCCTCTGGCCTGCACACACACACACACACACACACACACACACACACACACACACACACACACACAGCTTTGGGAGTTGCTTCTCTTCTTCCACATGGATTCCAGGCATCAGACTCTCTGGGCAAATGCCTTTCCTCACCGAGCTATCTCTGCCCTGCTTTGGTTATTGATTATCACAAGAGCTTGCTGAGCTGAGGCCATGAAGAGAGGGGGGTGGCAATAGAGCAGCCGTGAAGACAGCAGCAGCAGCCACAAGGGGGCAGCGGAAGAGCTCCAGAAGTGACAGAAACCATGAGGAAGGAAGGGGACAGGGAGGACCATGAAGAGCTGGAGGCTAGGTGCTGTCAGCCCTGGTCACTGGAAAAGTTCCAGGGAGCTGCCAAGCTGCATAGGCCAAGAGTCTGAGACACCCTGGGCCTGACAGCTGTGTCACCGGACTGAGGATGCCAACACTGACCTCTCTAGGGCCGAGGGTTCCAGCACCTGGGGCCTGTTAAGATGCCACTGTTGGAGGTGCTGCTGCTGCTGCTGCTGCTGCCACTCACTACTGCTGGAAGCTGAGGATTACAGTGACGTCCAAGTGCTGGGGCTGCTGGTGGTTAAAGCTTTTTTTTTTTTCTTCTTCGTCTTCTTCTTCTTCTTAAGATTAATTTACTTATGTACACAGCGTTCTGCCTGCATGTCTGCCTGCACATCAGTAGAGGGCACCAGATCTCAATATAGATGGTTGTGAGCCACCATGTGGTTGCTGGGAATTGAACTCAACCTGAATGTCTGGAACCTTAAATCTCTCCAACCTGGAAAAATAGGCCCCTATCTCTTATGGTTTAGAGGTATACATTTCTAGGTCTGCCAGTCCAGTCCCTGGGCCTTGGGCATTTGGGGACCTGGGACTACCAGCCCCGAGGAGTATCTTCATTTATGTAATAAATGTTCCAGCTGACTAGTGACATTTTTATTTTACTTTTCTGAGATAAGGTCTCACTGTATATCCCTGGCTGGCCTGGAACTCTGTATAGACCAGGCTAACCTCATTCACACAGAGATCTACCTGCCTCTGTCCCCTTGAGTGCCAGGATTAAAGGCAGGTGTCACCATGTCTGGTTGTTTTGTTTTTTAAGATTATTTTATTTTATCTTAAGTTTTATTTATGTGTGTGCCTGATTATAAGTATGTGCACCACATGCACAAAGATGCCTGTGGAGGCCAGAAGAGGGCATCAGATTTCTTTGAACTGGAGTCATAGGCAGTTATGAGCCCCTGGTGTGGGTGTTGGAAATGGAATTCAGGTCCTCTGCAAGAGCAATGAGTATTCTTATGTTCTTAACCACTGAGCCATCTCTCTAGCCCCTGTGGTTTGCCCCGCCCCCTTTTGAAGAGATAGTCTTGCTTTGTTGCCTAGAATGGCCAGGAACTCCTGAGGTCAGGTGATCCCTACTGCCTCAGCCTCCTGAATAGG